AGATCAGTGGCTTTGGGAAAAATCAGAGAGAAGTAGCGATTTAAGAAGATTCCAGGAGGCAATAAAGCATTTATGCAAAAATAAAACAAAACAAATAAGGGGAAAGAAGCTATATGGGGGGAGCAGGGGGAGAGGTACTTACACTCTTCTTCCATAACAATTATTTTAGTTTCTGTGGCTGGTAAGACTTGTGGTGCTTTCGTTGTTCCTGGGGAAATTAAGGTAAGAAAGTAGTGAACAAAATATCTATTTTGAGCAGAGAAGAGTGGGCTTAGCTACTGCAGGGAGGAGGACAAGAGCAGGTGCTGCTGGGTGGTGCAGGCTGGGGTGGCTGTCAACGTGTTAGTACTGGTTAGAGTACACTCAGATGGGTAACTGGGTAACACAGGCAGATAAATGAGTGCCCCTGCAGTGGATGGCACAGGGCATGCCAGTCCCCTCACTGTAAAGGGCCTCATGCCATTAGGATCTCTGTCATGATAAAAAGGCAGAAATGGCTCAGGATTCACCTGGCAGGTGATAAGTGAAACTGTGGGAGGTTTTCTTAGCCCTTACGGCCATGAGAGTGCAAAGACGGGATCACAGAACACAACAGCGAGAAAAATGTGGAGTTTAAGAAGAGGTGAGATCATCTGAAATGCCTCCATCCCACAAGTATGTGCAGTGCTGCAGCACGAAGTAATGCTCGTACAAGAGACGGAGGAACACGAAACAGATGAAGGCCGTGGCCCAAGGCAATATGGGAGCTGAGCACATGTAACGATTTCCTCTTTATAAACCAGGATACTGGGAAAGTCCAATGTCCACAGTCATGGGCTCTACTCAAGCCCGCTGGCAGCAACAGCCCGTTCTGTATCAAAGCCCCTCACCACCCTCTAGATGCACGAAGGAGAAAGCACCAGGAGCCTACACTGTGCGTGCAGCACCCTGCCAGAGATAGGGGGTGAGATCACCATAAAGAGGTAAAAGCAGAAAGAATTTTTTATAAAAGTTTGATTTTTCCTGCAGTGTTTAGCAAAGAAGGGAGGTGTCAGTTAAGGAGGTATCTAGAAATGTTCTGAGGAAAAAAAGAATCTGAAACAGTCACATCTCAGCTGTGCCCTCACGTCCATGTGACACCAATATTAGACTACCCAATAAAGAGAACTGGGAAATGGGACATTTTTCTAAGAAAGCATCTAATTTACCTCAAAGTAATAAAAATCTGAAAATAGCACCAAAGCACAATACTTTTTGGCTAAGCCCAAAAGCATTTCCTCAGAAACTGACAGTTTCCCAAAGCTTTTCAATGCAAAAGCATTTATTTCTGAGCCGGGCATTTTGTGGAAATACCAGAATTGCAGAGGAGAGATGAGGTGATGGGTTTGGCTGATGGGCATTTTCTAAGTGACAAGGGGTTGCTGCACTGCAGCCTCTCTCTTTCTAAAGAAAATCTCTCTTTAAAGTGGTGTTTTCGGTGATTTGCAACAGATCTGCATGGCTGATAAGGTGATCTTTTGAAACTGGTATAAACTGAAAAGTGGTGGTGGAATAGAGCAAAGAGTACTTTGCAACGTCAACACTGCCTCATCAGGCGGAGAAATTTTTACCAGCAGAGACTGAATCTCAGACCTCCATGGGCCTGAGGGTTTCATGTGTGAGCTCCTTCTCTGCCAGCCAGGACTCAAGTGGGCTCAGGAGCCTCCGTCTCTGGCCTCTGCACCCCTTCAGGGGAATGGCGTGTTGGGCTGAGGACATCTCGCTCCTCCATGATGCTCATCTCAAGCCTCAACAGCTCAGGCCACCTCTTGCAATGCCACCTCTCTACAGGGGCACCCAGAGATGTCCCCAAACCTCGTGTCTCTGTATCACAAGATGCAGTGTTAGCTCAGGACTTTTTTCCAGTCCTGGATTCACCGATGTGTATCACAGCAATATTACAGGACCTCCAACAATACTGCTAAGTGTCAGGTCAGAAAGTGTGCTTTCAGCAGACAGCCCCAGAGCATCAGTCCCAGCCAGCCTGCCCGGGGCCAGCAGATGCAGCAGGTTCCGGGCAGTAGTAAAGATGCAGAATACAAAGCAGCAGAACATACAGAAACAGCAATAGTGAGCTTCTGGGGAAGAGAGGCCAGCTCGCTCGTCTGCTCTGATGAATTGTTATAAACTGCTAGAACTTCACAGAACTCTGTGTTGAGACTTAGCCACGACAGGATCAGTGCTAAGAGCCTGGAGAAGAATGCAGGGAGCGACAGAAGACAGCACACACGTGGATTCAGAGACAAGCAGATGCCCTGAGGACTTCTCTACTGAAAGATATCACAGAAGGGAGCTTGCAGAAGTGAGGAAAGTGCCAAGGTCCCAAGAAGGCCCAGCAGTAAGGAAAGAGGGAGACTCCAGGACAGCAATTGCCTGGGCACAGATGAAGGCTGCTCGGCTCTGGGTAGCTCCAGGGGGAAGTAAAAAAAGAGTGCAAAGGGAGTGACAGAGCTGCAAAACATCATCTTGTTTACCTTTGCAAGGGATTACAACAAGCATTCAACTGCTGTCCTGCCAGGTGACCGGCAAATAGCAGCAGCAATGTGTGCATGCAGCTGCGAGTGGCAAGCGGAAGACAGATTTGCAAGGCAGCTTAGAAAATGGATCAATCAAGGCACTGCCAGAGCAGGGCACAGTGGCAATCTACTGGATCTGCAGCACCTTGCAGCCTGCAGCTCCCATTAGGAAAAGGTACAAGCCAGATCTTTGGGTCTCTTTGGTTGCTCTTCAGGTCTCAACACATTTCTGGGCAACTGAAGTGTGTCCTCATACTCTCTGTGACCAGAGCAAGAGCAGCCACCTGTCCTTGCCAGACAGCATGCCTTCCTCTGGAGGAAGAGTTAAACCCTGACAAATGCTGCCATTACCTGTGCATGCGGGAAGGGGCAGTTGGAAGTTGTAGTAGCCTGATGTGCATTTTCCTGGTGCCATAAGCAGTGTGCAGGATCAGAGCCTTGCAGCAGGCACTGCTCAATCACACCGTTCCTCTTGTGAAAGGGGATTGCTAGCAACTGGGAGGGGAGGGTGGAGGAGGCAGACAGGGCTCTGACAGCAGGCACATGCTGCCCATGCATATTGCACATGGGGGGGTGGGGATTGCACATCCAGCTCCCAGACAAAACAGGAACAGACACATTGCGATGGGACAGCTAGAGCATGAGTCAGAAGAAAAGGAGCAGCGCTGCCTCAGTTAGCTTTCTCTGGAAACCTTTCCTATCATGACTGGAAAGAAAAGTTAGCAGTAGGGCTAACTTCACAGACGTGAAGCATGAAGGCATGGAGGTCTGAGCATGGATGGCCTTTCTCTAGACTTTGCAAGCACTGGGTTTTTACAGGCAGAGTAACTGAGGGGGAGGCTACGTGATATCGCAGCTTCACAGAATAAAAGATTCGGGACTGCAAACACTGCTGAGGCAGAGGTTAATAGACATGCCAGGAAGCAGCAGGAGAAAGCTACCTTCCTTCACATTTGACTAATGCTAATAAGAGCACAACAGAGAAACTGGATCACACCAAAAGGCTGTAGAGCACAGAGCCCAGGCTCCTGCAGTGGCCCATTGTGAATGGCAGGAGGAAGAGCTTAGGAAACAGAGCTTGTACAGAGTCATCCCTCCCCTAGTCGCACCCTCCTGGCTTCTGGCAACCACTGTAGGGACTTTCTGAGCTGGAGGGTGCATCCAAACCATCATGTTAAGCAATATAATTATTATGACCAAGATAATAATAAAACCACCTAACCTCAGACTCCATCCACTGAGCTCTAAGAGATGGAGCACACATTCTAGGATGAAAACCAGAAGCAACTTCACTCATCACAAAGCTATGGTTTAATTACTTGTCTTCTGGTGAATTTTGCTTCTCAGAAATGCTTTAAAAAAAGAAAACATCAAGCCCACCAGCTTTCTTTCCTCCTCACCCCTTTTTAAAAAAATACATAGACTGTAAGTTTATTTAAAATGTAAATTAACGACATTGCCAGTGACAGATAACAAAGATAAACATTTATGCTAAGCTGCATTTTTCTTATCTCCCAAGATTGTTTTACTTGATATCCTGAAAGCATGAAATAAAATACAAGACAGATCATGTGCAGAACCTCCCGCTTCCTGCTTGAATGGCAGACAGCTCAAGACATTTGCTGGCTTCTTCACTTACCACTTTTCACATTCAGGCTGCCTTTTGCGGTGTCTTTCCCCAAAACGTTCTCCGCTTCGCAGCTGTACTCCCCAGCATCTTCCAGCTTCACCTTGTTGAACTGCAGTCTGGAAATCTTTCTGTTGAAAAGTACAGCAGACATTTCTTACTCGATTGCTAACCATCCTCATGAATTGATAACCATTCCTGGCCCTGGTATGCTGTCTGGTACGTCACCCCTTCTTGAGAGGATGGGCTGCCTGACCTCACAAGCTGAATAGGCACTCAAGCCTGGTCAGGATTCAGATGAGACCCTTCCCAGGAATCACAACCACCATGATTTCCTAAATGAACGTCTCCCTCTGAACACACTACTATTAGCATGTTGCCATGGCTCAGTCTGACACCTGCTCTCATTCACACAGAAGGTCTTGCGAGGAGTTGAGCCCCAGAGTCCCAGCATCCTAGCACACAGACTTTCTGCACTGGAGAAAAGCCACTTTACTGATGGACAGTAGGATATGCCTGCAAGACAGAGAAGTGGAGATGAGATGCATGTTCTGCACCTTCCTCAGCAAGGAGGCTGAGCAGTCCAGTGCTTTACTGGCTGTGTTCAGCAGTGCCACATACTCAAACAAACGCAAACACCCACAGGGTTGGGGGGACTCATCCTTTTCCAGCCTGCAAATGGAAAACCCTGTGGTTTGACCTAGACAGCTAGCTTGTAGCTTTATCTGAGCCAACAAATAGGGCAAATACTTTGTCTCCCCCATATACACACACTCCAATGTACTACAAACATGTGGGGCTGAACTGCACACAATCATCTTATCAGCCAGAAGTGCCTAGAAAGAGCAGAAGATGATGATTGCCCATGTCACCTAACAACATGTGCTGCGTGCTTCACAGGAGAGGGACCAGCTCTGCGGCAGAGCTCTGCAGTGCTACAGAAAGATGAGCATCGCCTTTCCCACCGGCTATGACTGACGTCACATTCTCTGGGATGTCTCTCTGACTAATAGGCAAAACCTTCTATTGCCTAGTTTAACAGAGATCTGTAGGAGCCTTCAACACACACTGAATACCACTTATGAGACCACAGTGTGATTCCCACGTTAGGTCCTCTGTTTTACTACATTTTCTTCCATTTTAGCCATCTTATCAGAAACCACCCTGTGTACTCTTCTCATGAGAACATGTCTCTGCTGTCTACCCCAAGCTTTTATCTCAGGTCTGTGTCATAGAGTTGCTTTATTTAGAGAATTGGAAACACTGCCAGCTTTAGAAAGAGGTCCCAGTGGCCTATGTCACTGAAGGCAAATAAAATTCCTTTTATGTGGAAAACAATCATTAGCTTTGGACATATTTGCAATGTTACATGTGTCATCTGAGAAGGACTTTTCTTTGGGCTGTGCAAATCATCATCTATAGGAAGTCCTTCACAGAAGCACACTGGCATCTTTTTAACACCCTGACATGTTGTTCTACTGGGAGGCACGGCACAAGAACACAGCATGAACATCTCACTAGTTATAGTAGTAAATTAAAAGCACTTGGAGACAACTTCATACAGCTCCCAGGATACAGGCGCTGCCCTGTTTTACAGGATGCGGTCAAGTGTTCAGTTGCACGAGTTTAGGCCCCATGTGGAGTAATTTTTAAATGAATGTTGACAGTATGCAAAGATTTCTTGAATCCCTCTAATCCTAGGTCTCCCCTAATCCACTGTACAAAGCCAGTTATTTGGGCCAACATGTTCCAACATGAGTGCCTAATCAAGCAGGCTGATTCAGAGTGGTGCAAAGCTGCCTTGACTCCCAGTGCTGTACACTTCTCTGAATTTTCTCAAGTCTCGTCGAGCAACCTGTGACAGTTCTGGGCATCATGGTCCTTGCTGCTGTGGTGTCTTGGGAGTCAAGTAGCATCCATGAGACAGCAAAGCATTTAAGGGCCTCCAGGGCCTGTTGCTGCCCGCTGGCAGTTGGGTTCTGCATCTTGCTGGGGAGGTACGATGGGCACCTGATGAAGGGGGTTGGCTCTGTTGGACTGTAGTGCCCAGTCCAGCACCACGTTCCCCACTCCCTCCACTGAGGCAGGTGTAGGAACACTAGGCAAAGGGTCGAGGTGGGCCTCTGATACTACTGCGTGCAACTCCAAGAAGACAGCCCCCAGCACAGCCATTACCGTCTCTCAGTTGTCTCAACTCTTGTTGACAGAATACACCATTTGTTTTATAAACCACCTCTATGACAGGCTTGTAGCTATTGCTGCAACACAGAGTGAAAAGGCAGGCAGCACGTGTTGAAAGAAGTTTGGAAGAGCGAGGCTCTAACTCCAAGTCCTGTAGAAAACAGTACCCTTGCACACCAACATGCTGAGGTTATCTGCTAGTGCAGAGCTGAAAGCATTAACAAATACGCTGCCTTCAGCTGCCAGAGGACAGATATTCTAATGATAATTAGCTGCATTGCAATCTTATATGCACAGCACGTTTCACCATGTGTAGTAACTGGAAAAATCCACTACAGCATTAGAATATCACCTATGTATGTGATGCTTTACAGATAAGGGTTTTAAGTCCCAAAGATACAAATTAGTAAGTTATTAGTGACACAAAAGGCTAATGAAAGGGAGCACACTTGACAGATTCATCTCCAAGAACAGCATGAGAGACATTTGGTCTTTTACCTGGGACTGGAGAGGAATGTGAGCAGAATAAAAAGCAATGTTGGCATTTATAGCCTATCGCATCAAGGTGAAACCAAAGAGGATTATTTTGTTTTAATGCACAAGACTGTTGTGCTGTCAAAAGAGCTTATTTTTATTTTCCATCACAGTTTGTTGAAATTCTCCCGGACTGTAAGATCCCCTTGAAAAATCAAGAGCTTTTTCTTGCTTTTCATGCCCCAGACCAATGGTGTAGCTACTCTTGGTCTCCACTCTGTTCTGTATAATGTCAGGTAACAGACTTGGGGGAGAGAGATGAAGGGTACAGACAAGGATCAGTTTTAATGTGGAGCATAACCACAGTAAAGAGAATTTCCCTATTCCAGGAAGCACTGAAACAGCCAGAGAGATACCTTGTTTCACAGCATTAGTCATGCACCTTTTAATTCACATGTGCACTAGAAGAACTGAACTGAAGGATGTAAAAGAGATTAGACCTTGCTTGATCTGTGTGTGGCAAAGACAAAGATGACCATTCTGTCTCTGTTCTATTTTACTATCTCCAAGTGCTACTGAAATATCTCAAAACTGCCTAGGAAATTGGGTTTTCAAGTTTGTGTTCTTCCTCCTGCTGTCCCCGAGGGCAGGTACTGTGTTCACTTGAGGGCTAAGGCGTGTTTTTACAGAAATACCAAGTAGTAGCATACAAGGAATTATGTTGTGCACAGGAGTTTTGTATCAAGTCCCCTGCTGCCCTCCTGGGCAGTGTGTGTCTTGGGGACGCCAGCCCCTGGGAAAGCCCTACCGTGCGCGTTCACAAGGGTGCCTGGCTGCCAGATGATGCCATTCTTCTGGAGGAAGGCACTGCCCTGGGGCTGTTTGTTCAGTGAAAGGGCCAGGGTCACTGACAGATCCCATCATTTCATGGCAGTGCAACTCTGTTGACATTTCTTTACTCCAGGGTAAAATATGCCTCATTGTCTTTTCTGACCCTCAGCACATCTGACTTAGCCACGCACTAATTATCTCCTGTAGCGCCAGTGGAGGAATAAGCCATGGGGAATATGTTGTCTGCAAGCTCTGGGGGATAGGATTCACAAGGAGACCTTCAGCCTGGCCAGAAGAATATCCCCCAAAATACCTTCCTGGCTAAGAGAAAAGAGTCCCCCAGAGGGCAGTTTGGAGCAATGAGTAAATCACCCTCTGCAGTGCCAATCTCCAGACTACAATGGGAAACAGGGAGATCAGCCCCTGGCTGGGACCTACACAAAGATCCTGGCAAATTCTGGCCAGGAAGGGTGGCCTCAGCTGCTGTAATTTAGACATCTCAGAGTTAGACATGTAAATGTCTTGGGCCCTGAGGCCTCCAGTATAGTCAGAGGAAAAGAAACAGGCACTTCATCTCAGCCAAGGAGGAACTTTTCATGACAGGAGTCATGTTCCCACCAGCACTTTGGTCAAGCTTGAATCATTTTTCTCCTCTTCCCTATTGCCAAGTGGAAATGGGACCATCCTCCCAGGTCATCTCCTCGCAAAGCCATTCACCTCAGAGCATGTGAGCAGGAGAGCAGCTGCCACGACAGACACCTACGTTTCACTGAGGACTCTGTTCCCTATGTGAGTTCAGCTGCTTCTGCACCATTCAGGACAAAAATAGCTCTAGGATTACTACTGTTGTAGTATTTTATTAGTCTTCTAAAAATAGGGTAGCTAACACGTAAGTAAGAAAGAAGTCAAGGAATTAGTTGATGAAGAGAATTTGAAGACTACACCATATGTGGCCCCTAAATTGTCAATGAAGAACACTACACATAGTAAACACACCTGAGATCCTAGGAAAAGGAAATTCCCAAATATGACCCTTGCAAAGGACACACTGAATACACTGCTGTGGTTACCTATTAACTCCATTCCTCTCTGTTTGCACAGAGAGCCGGTGGCAGGAAGCACACCAATATTGCAGAGAGCAGAAAGGCCAGCAATTGCTATAACGTGTACTGCTTACACTCCTGCCAAAGATTTAATTGGTGCCTATGTGCTGTCCTGGCACTCTGCACAGTGGAGCATTTGCCCTGAGAGAGCAGGTTAATGATTGGCAAGAAGATTCAGAATATCCAGTTCTTCAGCTTACAGTCAAGAAGTGTTTTCCAGAAACTGTCAACATCAGGCAGACCCACTGGCCGGAGCAGGGACTATCAGTACCCTGGCCTCGGGGAACACTTTCATCTTCCCCAGCACACAGCGGGATAAAATCAGGTAGAAGCGATCACTGCAATGCAAATCAGCATAGGGATGGCCATGGCAAAGCACCTCTGTCCAGCAGAGCAGAAGTGGCAGCCAGGAACATCCTCTTCCCTGCACAGACAGATGGAAACCACCCCAATCTCTTCCCTGCCCTTCAGTTACAGAGCAGCACAACAGAGCTGGGCAAGCCGGCTGTGCCTTGAAGTGCTTGAGAAAAACAAGTGGCCCT